GCCCGGGTACGGGCCGCCTCGTCGGCGCCCGGCTCGGATCTAACGGGCCGTTTTGTGACCGTTTTGGTCAGCCCGGCCCGGCCTAGCCCGGTCATAACGGACATTTCGGCCGTTTTGATCGTTTTACCCCCAAAAACAGTCAAAACGGTAAAAATGAGAGTATTTTGGTCATTTGTCTAGTGGGTTACCTCTATAAACAGAGGGGGTTTTCATTTGTTTTCCTCATCCAAAACTCATCTACTTTTCTCTAATACTCTCTTATACTCTCTAATAATCGCTTTACCTCTCTAATTCTTTAATCAAATGGCTTCCGGATCTGATTATGAAGAGGAAAACCTAACTCCCGAAATGAGTTTTCCTACTACAGCTACTCCTACCGATCCTACCGATATTGATCCCGAATCCGATGCTGACGATTGTACAACAAGAGCTTCTAAAAGGCCGAGATCCGATGTGTGGAATTTTTTCGAGAAGATAGACGTCACCAATGATGAACACGGTAGAATTCTCACCCAAAAGGCTTAGTGCGTGTTGTGCGGCAAGATTTTCCCAACTCATCATAAGAACGGCACCAACCACCTCAAACGCCATTTAGATAAACACAACAAAGGCCAGATGCCTTAAGATGATATCCGACAATCTATGATCTCACAATCCTCATCTTCTGATAGTCTCGGTAGTTGAAATTATGACGTAGCTCGTGCCAGGAAATGTGTCATCAGGTATATCATTCTTAAGAATCTTCCTTTTAAACTAGTAGAAGATGATGAATTTGAAGATTTATTTATAGATGGTTTTTACCCCGTATTTAAAAAAATTTCTCATCAAACTTGTCAACGTGATATTTTAAAACATTATCAGGAGGAATATAGAAAAATAATTTCTTATTTTTAAAGTTTAAACTATGAATTTTCTTTACATTCTGATGTTTGGACATCTAAAGTAGAAACTAATTATTTATGTATCACAGCACACTGGATTGATAAAATTGGTAAATGTTTAAAAGAGTTATTTTCTTTATTACAATTGAAGAGTCACATATTGATATTAATATTGCAAATTTAATAATTAAAGAACTTTTGAAATTAGAAATTTTAGAAAGAATATTTTCTCTTTCACTAGATAATACAAATAATAATAATGTAGCTGTTGATTTTATCAAACAATCTCTGTCATTGCCATGTCATGATGATATTTTTCATATTAGATGTATCTGTCATATTTTAAATTTAATTATTTAAAGTGCATTTATCGAAATTAGACCCATGATAGAAAAGGTTAGGATAGTAACTTATATGCATAATTGCTTCTAACAAAGAATTAGAAGATGGAAACAATTCTATAAAAAAAATGTAAAACTAGAATGATTCCAAAAGATATTGACCATAGATGGAATTCCACCTATGCAATGTTAAGTATAACAATAGAATATAAAGAAATTATAAATGATTTTATTGCTTTTTATATTTCTAGTTCTAGCTCTGGTGCCATGTATGGAATTACTGAAGATGAATGGATAGTTATAAGTAATTTATGAGAGATGCTACAAGTTTTTTTTATGATGCTATAATATTATTATCTGGCTGTTATTATCCAACCATTACTTTAGCTGCTTTATAAATTTTAAATATTCAATTTTTTTTAATAAATATCGTATGGATGATTATTTTGGAAGTATGATTTTTCAAATAGAAAGTAAATTTAATAAGTATTTTAGACCTATTCCTATTATTTTTGGTTAGAGGGTTCTTATTAATCCGTAATTGAAGGATATTGTCCTTCGAAGTTTGTTACATTCATTGTATGGTGGACAGATAATAGACACTGATGATGGTAGTACCATTACTGCTACTACTCATCATAATATTATTATAAATTATTTTCAAAGCTTATATGATGATCGAGTATGCAGCTAAATATGGTGTAGCTACACAACAATCTACAAGTTCGGCTTCTTCAAGCTCAAGTCGGGGTAAAAGTGTAAGTTTTGATAGGTATGTAATGGTATCTGTGCTAACTGGTGGATCTGGACTTGGATCATCATTGGAGGTTTTTGAAATTGATCAATATTTAACTATTTTTTAGTTAAATGTCAAAATAATAATTTAGACATTTTGCACTGGTGGAAAGTATATGGAATAGTTTCATATCTTATACTTTCTATCATGATTCGTGACTTACTAACAGTGCATGTTTCCATGGTAGCTTTGGAATTCACCTTTAGCACAGCACGACGTTCGATCGATGACCACATGACATCGTTAGATTCGTATACT